TCTTAAACTTTTGGCAGAGGTCTTACGGCTCATACAACCTTAATGAAACTTCGTACGTTTGTAGTACTATGGAAAATAATAGACACATATTTCTTTTTCATTGGCTCTCATCCATACTAAATTACGAGTATCACTCTTTCGATTGCTATCTGTGGATTTTATATAGTAGAAAGAATGAATAAAAGTTGTTTTTATAGGTTTAGGTGAAGAAATAGCAAAAATATTTTCTATACAATTCAGAAATGAACCACAGCATGCCAGATGTTACAGAAATCAAATTAAATTAAAAAACGTGTTCCAATTTCAAAAATGTTACAAACTCGGACATTTAACATGTAGTTAAAACATGAAAAAGAGCGTAGAATAATTAATTTTTACTACGAGCTGAAACGCGAAAGCGTTTCATTAGCAGGAGAATAAAATCCGGAGGTAAAGAGCGTTTCTAGGAAGGATCGAGCAATAAAGAAGGGGCTTTTTTCCCAGGCAAAAACGTGGTTGGCGAATACACCGTTAAGGAACCGGGCGGTAACGTAAGGACCGTGAAATATCACGCGGACCCGCACGGAGGGTTCTTCGCGTACGTGCACAATTCCGACGGCAACAACCACGAGGGTGGTACTTACGGAGAAGGACACTATTGATTCGTATGCATCCGGACGTAGCATCGACGTACCGCAAGGAAAATTCGGAACGCGTTTACCCGGATTAGAACGAGAGCTCGTTACTCGGGAATTAGTCCCGCGTTTCAATTAGCCGTGTGTCCATTTGCAAAACGACGCGCGGTTCAACCAAAGAAAATTGGCACCGAACAGCGACCACGCTCAATGGTTCCCGTTCCCCCGCTATTATCGTCGTTATAACTATCGAATATACAGAACGTACGCAACAAACTTTCGTTTCCATTTTACTTCTCCCCCCGGTACTGTCAATGTATATATTTCCCGAACAGTGGCTTTTACGACCCGGAGAATTTCCAGCTGAAACTGAACTACCGAATCCACAGGTACGCGGCAGTGTCCTGCCGCACTTGCGAAAATATGAACGCCGTAACAATCAGAATATCGCCGCAATAAAGTTATCTGTGTCGGAGAAATATGGGGCTCGCGATATTTTTATCGACTTCCCGCGCGCGCACAGGCGCCCATTGTAAACCGGCATCAAATATTTCTACGCGCCGCGTTTTTACTATCGCGCCACTCGAGAACGTCTGATTATTACTTGCCCGAAAATTCGAGCACCTCGCCGGATTGAACCGCGCGCCCTTACCGAGGACTCCTTGTAGTAGTCAGAGACCGAACACGCTTTCAGAGCGATCGATCGAGTTCGCTCGGCAAGTACTTTCAATCCTCATTAACCCAGAAAAATGAGGTCTTAATGAACGCGATTCGACCGGTTCCTTTCAGTCCTAATATTTAACGAGCCTCAAGTTTAAACCCCGCTTCGCGTCTGTATCAAGGAACGTCTTTCGTTCCCGCATAATCCCCTGAATCGCTTGTCATTATCGTCGATACGGCTTCCCACGGATAAGATACCCCTAGATAAATAAACAGATGAGTTACATGGATCGAATAAGGAAAAGTAAGCCTTAGTCGACGCATCTGGTCACGTATCCCAAACATAGGGTGCCCCTGTTTAGAGCGAGGGTTCACAAATTAATTCTTATGGTTCATTAGGTGAATCTGTAGACACGTAACGGTATTAATAAACAGGCAAGTATATGTATGTATTTATTGCGAGGCTAACTTGGAATGAGAAGAAAGATGCTGTAACCGCGTTTAATCCCATCCCGGATTACGTATTAAATTTTCAAGCTGCTTCGTTCTATCCGCGGAGTATCCAGTTAGAGATATTAGTCGCGTAATTGCTCGTCGACGGGAACGCTTAGGAATACTTAACAATATTGGTGCAAACTGCAGGCAATTTATGCAAACGTCTCGGGTTCGTAATTGCATTTTCGAATCCATCTTCAAAATTAATTCTTATCTCCTGATATAAGAAGAAACTTTTAACGTCTCGTTGCCGCGGTCATGAAAGTGGTATTAATATACTAGCGAGCGGATGCTAACTCTCGAAGTTCACTGCTACAGGGATTGATACCTCAATTCGTGCGACGCAAACTTCCGCGAGATGGTGGATATACGCCATATGCACGGATATTATTACTCACTTCTTCGCATAGTTTCCTCGTTTGCCATCTCGTAACCCTATTACGGAACTCCGGGCAACTTGTGACGACGTTAGGACAGAAGTTTCCCCTGCGCTTCTCCGCGGAGTGATAAATGAAATTGTACAAACGTTCCCGCTAAAAGAAACAGACAATTTCGACGGGACGGAGTAATTTGATCGAGGGTCGGCGTTATTCTTGCCGGATCTTTGTTTGGCACGTCGTCCGAGGGTGACCAGAAGGCTAGCAATGGTAACAGCGGCGACGCATTCGTCCGCGCGTGGCCACGATCAGCCGTCGGAGGAGGGGCGAACGAGAGAGTTGTCGGGAACAGGCGGCGGCAATAATGCGCGATGGACGTGATAGGGTGCGATCGATTTTCTCGATCTCGAGAGAGAATGGAGTCCTTATTATTCCGGCGAGAAGGCACCACTCTCGGGGTAGCTTCGTTATTCGATTCGAAAGCAGCGGTCGCTTCGAATCTAACCCCTCGGCCTCGCCTGCCTCCTTTTATGCTCGCTTTTCTTCTCGCCCCTTCTCTTCCCCAGCCTACTTCCGTGTTGGTAAAAATCCAATTCGTGCCGGAGCGTTGCATGGAAAATAAGAGGAGCAGACGTTGAATTGCTGCTACGTAATGGTGCCACGTAATGTACACTGCTACTCAAAAGTTTACTACGAATTCATGCATTTTGAGTGACGAGTGGGAGGTGTTTGAATTCAGCAATAATGCAGTTATCGAGATTTGATTTTATAAGAGAAATATAATAATGATAAACTGAACAATTGATTCTGAACGTAACTCGGATTATAAAGTGACCGAAGTATTTTTCTAAGACTTGCGGATTATTACCCTCGGGCTTAACTCGATTTCTTTGTGGAAAGTCGTTTCCGCGGGATCGAGCGAGTGTCCTGGAAAATTGAAAATTACCTCCGAAGATCGGGCGCCGTGCGAACGGCGAGCTGTTAATTCTTAATGATCGCTTTATCGTGTCTTACTTAATTCAGCGTTCCATTTCGCTTTGCTTAGCGGCGAAGCTGGATCGACTCGACCCACGGGGATAATTAAAGTTTACAGTATTTCGAATGGCTAGCGAGGATTAATAGAATTTGTAATGGCCTTTTTCTCCGGCCGCTCGAACTTTCCTCTTGACCGTCGCTATCGTTGCCGATCCGTTCCTCTTAAAATTGTATCGTACAAAGGCTGTCCTCGGGACCGGTCGACGTTAACGTCGTCCTGACGGTGGTAAACACCGACGTGACGCGACGAGGCGGTGCTAAAGAAACTCGCAGCTACTGTACTCGTTGATCAATCGTTACCTTTGATAGGAAATTTCTAACTAAAATGGAAGTTACAGCGCGGCGATGGTGCGCCCCGCGCAACCGGGAGAACTCGCATGAAAAGCTCTTCGCGCGGTAAACATATTTACGTAGGTGCACGGCTACGCGGTTACCGATTTTACGACCGGTCTAGATTTACGATTAGAAAGTTCACGGGTCGTAAGAGACTTTCGACGTTGAACGGTTCAAGTTCGCCGTTCGCGTTTCTCCCCTAATCAACGTCAAAATGATTCAATAAACGTTCGGGGAACCGCGCCGAGCAACTCACGAATCTACGTGCAACGATTATTATTTCAGAGCAAGTTTGATTACACGCGACCGACTTGCCGGCAACTCGTTCATAATTTTATCTTCCGGAAAACGTTGGTAATGGCGATGAATAATAATGTTCGCGGTTCGCTCTCTCAACGAACTAATCGAGACTCTTCAACATCTCCCTTACCCCTCCTACCCCCCCTCCCCTGGTTTTATAAGGGTACTTTTATCGAAAGATTACACGACGTCGTTATCGATGTTCCTGAAGGGACCAGGTAAGGCGTCGGCTTATCGCCTGTTGCCAGCCTGACTCGTTCGCACTTAACTTGCACAATATTCGAAGTTCAAACCATGTCTCGCGAACTTCTCGACTTCGAAACTTCGAATTCTATCTAATCATTTTGATTGGAATGTGAATATCATCGAGAAAGTATCCCTTTGGCCATTGTTTATCGGCGATCTTTCTGCCTCGAAATGATCAGCGTTCCTCTCCGAGTTTACACTGTTCCCAATGAGAGCGAACGGGTAAATAAAACCTTGTGAGTAAGTCCGAGAGAGGTAATAAAATAATGAAACGAGTTCGGGAGTAAGAGGAAAATGGAGCAAGGAGGCAAACCGTGGAAACTATCCTAAGTTCGTTCGATTTGAAAATTTTATATCGCTAGTGAAAATACACAGGGAAGAAGTTAAACCGACTCGTTCGTGATCGTTTCATTTATTTAATTGCACCGTATACCGTTTCAATCGTTCAATTTCAAGGATTAGTATTATTCTATTATCTGCTTTTAAATGAATTCTTCTGGGTTTTCAGAATGCTCTAAAATATAGATTCCTGAACAGTGGAGGATAATGATGGTTAATATTTGTAAGGACAGGAGTATCAGGGTTAGAGGGATGGGGGACATGGTTTAAATATGTTTCCAATTAGAAAAGAATTCGAACTTCAAAGAAAGTTTGCAGGCATGAATTAAAGAATGACATTTGGGAACATTTAAATTAAATATAAAACAGAGCCTTTCCTCGAGTTATCTTAATAACTAAGTCATGCAACAGCACTCAATTTGACATACCTGAAACGAAAACTGTCCTCAAAGATTGAACACTATTTTCCTTTATTAATCGATTATGGCTGATGCATTAAATTCTAACAAATGTGAATATTTGGGGTGGCTTATCGGTTAAGATTTTTCGCGGCTGAAATTCCTGAAATCTTACGACGCCGTTCGTAAAAAGGATCGTCTTATTTATGGTTAACACTTGTCCATGTATCGTCGAAATTAAATTCTCTCGTTTTCAACTCTGTGGACATTCTCCAAAGGTACGCGTCACGGAGCACCCTTTCCAGAGGAGTCTGCGATCCCGTGACACACGATGGTTTTTCACAGATGAATCTGAAACGTGACCGAAGACCCGGCGCTGCTCCCTACTTTGTTGTACCGTGGAAAAGCAGTTTATTTTCTCTCACAGAGAAAGGTTCGTTTGTTCGGAGGAACTCGAAGAAATTCAGTGCAAACTCGTAGCGTAAAGTGGCCGGGGAACCGGCGAAAAATATGAGAACGAGTAACAATTTTATACGTTTCAACGTTCGCCTCGATATTTCACGATCAACAAAAATGATAAATTGACCAAGTAGAAATTTATCGGTAATGTCGACAATGATTCAAGGGAATATGACAAAAAATTCAAATAGATCCGCGCTTTTAACGGATAATGTAAATATTGGACGCGCGATATTGAATCGGACATGAAATTCTGATTTATCCTGTAGTTGCGTTAAATTGATTAAAAATGGTATCCTGCAACAGGATACGAGTCACCGGGAAATTACGAATCGACTTTAATCAAAACGCGTCGCACGGAGGTAGAAAAGCAGAGAATATGTTCGAGTATTTTCAATGCACTTATTGCCGGACAATTTTTGTTGTTAGGCAAGTACCGACGCGCTCGTACACGAACGCCCCGTCGCACAGACATGGCTTCACGGAATTATACGAGCCCGATTTCATCTGACAATGAAATTCCATTCTCTCCTGCCGATTTTAAACCTTTAAATGGCGTCCCGTGAAATATGCATCCAATTTTTTTCCA